GCCCGGCTACCACCACTGACTGCTCTGACCAGGATCACAACAGAGGGTTCTGCACGGAGCTGGAGAAGGATATAGAACATAATTCTAACTCACAAGAAAAAAGACCAGATTTACTGGCCTAAAGGAGACTGGAGAAACCCCGAGAGTATGGCCCCCAGACACCCTTTTGGCCGAGTGGTGAAGTTATCGCCGAGGTTCACTGTTCAGCCTGGAAGTGGACAGCCCCGTAAAACGAAATGAGACTAACGAGGTACAGTAGTCCAGTGAGAAGGGCAGAAAGCAGAAGGGGACAAGGAAGCTGGTGATAGGGAACCCAAGGTTGAGTAAGGATACTGTTGATGTGTTGTGAGATTGTTAATCATTGTCATAGGGTAACATGTGTAGTAACTGTTAAACTATTTTGTTCTGTAAGCCTTCATCTTAAGTGAGAATAACAGCACAATTGGAAAAGCGTAGTCAGTGTCACTGAACTGTCCATGTAGAAATTTCTGAAATGGTGTATCTTTGGCTACGTGTATTTTCACCAAAAAAAAAGGTTAAGAAGCTAGAGGGTTGACATGTTGTGGGGTTGTTAACCAATGTCATAAGACAATATGTGTACTACTGTTTCATGAGAAACTATTTTTTCTGTAAGCCTTCACCTGAAGTACAATTAAAAAAAAAAAAGGAAAGCGAAAAAAAGAGAGAGATAAAAAAAAAATTTTGTATCTTTGAAATCACTGGGGAAAAGACAAAAGGCAAAGCATTAGCCATATGACAATAAACAGAGAAAACCAAAAAGAATAACTTGAACAAAAGGCAAAAACAGGATAAAAGAAGATCAGATCTATCCATTTTAACGAATCGTTAAAATTCCTAGCTAAAAGACAGAATGAACAAAGACATTTATATTGGTTTCAAAAATAAAATCAAACTACACGCTGCTTACGAGAAATGAAACAAAATGCCTAGAAAGATTTTTTAAATATATAGGGAAAGATTTAACAAGTAAATAGAAACAAAAAGTGGTAAGAATATTCATATCAGACTGTGCTAAAGCCAACTTGTGGCTCACATAATTTTCTGTCCCAGAATCTATTACTTCCTCCTAGTTGTCCTTTCTTTCAGTTTCTTACATGGCCATTCCTATTTTATCACACAGCCTCTCAACAGCTGTGATCTCAAACTGGCTCTGCCAGGCACACCCTGTGATAGGAACCCATTACTAACTTGAAACCTCATCAGTTACTCCTTGTACCTCCCAGCCATGCCCCAAATGGTGCCTGTGATTAAAATCTCTCCCTTTTCCCATGCTAATACACTGGAAACTTATAAACTGACCAGTAAGACTTCAGTGTTCACTAACCCAAAGACCCCAACCTGCTTGTCATACATAAGCCCTTTCCTCCAATTCCAACTCGCTGCCTTGTCCCCAGGTGCAATCCACTACGCGGCTCTGCATCCAGGCATGCTGTAATTTCCTCTCTGGGACTTCTGACTACTAAATTCTGTTTGTTTTCTGGCCTTACTGCATGACTCATTTCCTCAGGCCACACCTGACAAACCATCCAACACACCCACAGACCCCCTTTGGGTCAAACTTAAAACAAGCACACACAAAAAAAGCATGAAACAGGGCAAAGTAGCTCATTTTATATTAATAAAAGGTATAATTAATAATTAAGATAAACGATCATAAGGAAGTATACACTAGCACTGTACATATATGTATATATACGTATATATACATACATATATATAACAAACAATATAAATTAAAAAATTGCTGTACATAAACAAGAAAAATTGACAGAAACACAATAGTAGGTGGCAACTTTAACATAACTCAAGTCCAGCAGGCAAAGCATAGAAATAGATACATTATTTAAATAATATTATGAATAAAGCTGGATATATACATCACACAGGCTTAACTTTGAACCTTACGTCCAGACACTACACCTTTCTCCCCAGCAAAATTAGAATACTTAAGAAAATAATCAACCAACCAATCTAAGCCAGGCCAAAAAGACTCAACAAATTTCAAACTGGAAAAATTATTAGGATGTACTTTTAAGATAAAAGTAAGTTACTAAATAGTATGCACAACATGATTTTTTTAAGTACTAATATAGTTAAGGAAAAACAGGAAGGTAAAAATATGGTAACAGTAGTTGGTTACCATTGGGAAACAGGATTACAGTGATTTTTATCTTCTTTTTTGAAGTCATTATTTTGAAATTTTCATTAATTATGATGTATTTTGACTTTGGTAATACAAATTTTATTTTCAAAAATACACAATAAAATATAATATGTTTGAAAATACAAAATAACCCAACCAACACGGTATCTAAAGAAAAATTCACAGCTCCAAATGTCCATACTAAGAATAAAGAAAATAAATAACACTTACTCATGTCTTTTCTAATTCCTTAAGGCATTGAATATAGGCTAATACTACTAACTGGAAATCACATTCAAGTGCCAACAACCCATATAAGTTTTAATATTATATGCTTGGTAGTTTACACAGAATACATACGTTGCGTCCTTCCTTAACTGCTTCTTCTAGCTGAGCTGCATACTGTGAACAGTATACCAACAATGAGTTCAGATCATCTCCAATCTTTTGAAAAGAACAAAACAGAAAGTTATTTTTATTTCAGAATCCATATGCATAGCCATCTATTTTTTAGCACATTATAACTATTTTTGGAAATATTTCAAATTTTTTGTGTAATTTATGTCCCTTCAACCATGTAGCACATGAAAGCATGTTTTAAATGCTACACTAGCAAACTATCCCAGAAAGAGAATATGAAAGAAAGTAGATTCTGGGAAGTGGCCCATTAATGATATACCCAGCTATGTCGCTCCTTCTCCTCTAACACAGTTGCAGAATCAGTCGTTACTCTTGAAATTTCTAGGTGGCCCAAAAAAGGTAGCTGTTATGTGTTTTCACGGATTGAATTATGTCTCCCAAAAAATGTGTGTATCAGTTTGGCAGGGCCATGATTCCTGGTATTGTGTGATTTTCCTGTATGCTGTACATCCTGCCTGTATGATGTTAATGAGGGAGGATGGGTGGCAGTTGTGTTAGTAAGGCAGGACTCAATCTACAAGATTGGATTGTGTCCTGAGGCAGTCTCTTGAGATATAAAAGAGAGAAATGAGCACAGAGACAGGGGGACCTCATACCATCAAGAAAGCAGTGATGGGAGCAGAGTGCATCCTTTGGACCGGGGTCCCTGCACAGAGAAGCTCCTAGTCCAGGGGAACACTGATGAGAAGGCCGAGAGAGAGAAAGCCTTCCTCTGGAGCTGACACCCTGAAATTGGACTTTTAGCCTACTTTAGTGTAAGGAAATAAACTTCTCTTTGTTAAAACCATACACTTGTGGTATTTCTGTTATAGCAGCACTAGATAACTAAGACGTGTGTCTACCTTATAAATATCTCTTCGTGTTAGAAAATGAATGCTAACCATGAATTCTGACTATAAATATCCCTTCCAAAGGCTGTATTTTCCACTCTCGCCTAAAGAGCAATAGAAAACTTTGAGGAAAAAAAAGAGATAAAAATATCACAATGACTTAATTTCTTCTAGTAGAGCAGTGATTTATAAATCACAGAGTTGATCCAAGACAAGCAAATTGCAGATGCTTCATGCAGTTAGTATCCTTACAGAGTAGTTCTTCATGAATAGTATGTTCCCTGAACATTACAATTTACACATACTCATAGGCTCATATACTTTTTGTCATGATATAACAACAACTAGTTGCCATCAAGTCAATTCAGACTCATGGAGACATCATGTGTGTCAGAGTAGAACTGTACTCCACAGGGTTTTCAAAGGCTGATTTTTCAAAAGTATATCACCAGGTCTTTTTTCAGAGGCGCCTCTAGGTGGACTCGAACCTCTAACTCTTTGGTTAGCAGCCAAAACACATTAGTCATTTGGACCACCCACGGACTCCCATTTGTCATGATAAAGGCCCATAATTGTAAAGTTTCCAAGCACAAAAATACTTAGAGCCCACTTACTTTAACCTCCCAACCAATGTTATATCTGGTCCCCAATACATGCCAGCATGACTTCTGAATATTAAGGGTTAAAGGCAAGAAAGTTAAAACAGACCAACATAAAAACTAAAAACATAATATTCTTAGAAGAAAATGCAGGGGCTAGGTTGTTGGGCCTAGCTTTTAACAATGGATTATACAGTAACAGAAGCACAAACAACAAAAGACAAAATAAATAAATGGGACCTCATAAAAATTAAAAACTTTCGTTCATAAAAAGGCTTTACCAAAAAAGTGAAAAGACAAGCTGCTGACTAGCAGGATATCTTCAGAAACAATATAGCCAATAAGAATCTAATAGCCCAAATATATATAAAACTTTGACAACTTAATAACAAAAAAATAATCAAAAAATGGGTAAAGGAATTGAATAGACATTTCACGAAAAAGGACATTCAAATAGCCACTAATCAAATGAACAGATACTTAGTGTCATTAGCCACCAGAGAGATGCAAATCAAAACCACAATAAGATGCCACTTCACTCCCACTAGGAGTGAAAATTAGAAAATCAGAACAAGTACACAAGAGCCAAAGTACAACCTTAAGTATATCCCACCAGAATTTAGAGACCATCTCAAGAATAGATTTGATGCG